GTCAAAATATTAGAACACCTAATAAATTTAATTATCTCGGGATTCAGAATCATACAAAATCAGGAGCAAAAGGAATAAATATGTGACTAATCTGACTGCATAATCTCTGTGTGTTTACACTATATTATTCCAGTTTCTGATCTGTGGCGTGTTTCATTATGAAGTGATGTTTGAGTGACACTGTGCTGGCTGTCACAGCCATGTGCTGAGGTTCCCCTCTCATTTCCACCAGCAACAATAGCAACGACTATTCTAGTTCTAGGCCGACTATTTGTGTTATTGTGCGGTGTCAGACACAGGCTCTGACGTGTGCTGTGCTATCAGCAGGAGTGTACAAATACAAACACATTTGCCTGAGTTATTGACCTTTATCTCCCCACTTTCTTGACAGCCTTCTCCCGTTATTGACAATACAAACACATGGGACGACACATAACCTTTCATTCACAGAGCACTTTCTCTCCTCTCTTTTTTTTTGCTCGCTCTCTCTCTTTCCCTCAGTCGGTGTCTTTTGCTTTCTCTGCTGCTCTTGCAATTTGTTTAAATAAAACGGGGCAGACAATGGTACCGCTCATTTCTGCCATTTTTCTTTCACTCCAAATTTCATGGGATAATATCATTAGAGCGATACAATGGTTGCTATTCAGGCTCGGAWACACAGATATTTCAAGTATTCAATATAGTTTTGACATGCTGGCATTAGGGGAGAGCATTGTTTCTGTATTTGTTTGCTCGCAAAGTTGATTCCATCATAAATCGGGGATTCCTGAGGCAAGTTATTTGTCTTTATGGTGCTAAATTATACCGAAGTACACGGTCAGTAAAGTAAAATGRAAGTCATATTCAAAAGATGCCCCTGAAACATTAAAAAGCGTACATTAAAAAAAATCTATTCAAATATTTGTGCTTTTTTATTATTTTAATTTAAACAGATACGTAAGCAGAGAATATCTGCCGARCGAGGAGCAACATAATTATTCTGAAAACTGGACTGAATATATAAAACCTTAATAAACAGAATAATTTATTGCATCTCAATGCAGCGAGGAATAACAATGGTCATAAAAAGCACTAGTTCTCCACTAATGATTCTCCTCCAGGATTTATTGTGTTTTTCCAATGTATGTCCTCTTGCATTTCAGCATGAAAAATAGCATGCATAAAACACGGGTGTCCCCACCAGTCGGCCCCTCTGCAGGTACTTCAGAGCCCCCAAAATTAAATTTTAAACAATCCAGACCAGTGTTTGGTGGCCACGGTTAATCATCAAGAAACAAAGACATCAAACAATATTTGATAATGAGAAAAATGCCTCCAGGATATTAGGGGGTGGGGGTGGGGGGGCGCAGCATGATCCTCGGCAGCAAAGCAAGGTAGGGAAGGCCACACCGCGTCTGTGCGTGGTGTGTTCGTGTGTTTTGTGTGTCTGACACACAAAACACATGTTAACGTTGGTGATGCACAGTCACAGATGTGCAATTTTACGAAGTTTAACAAAAAAAAACAATTAAAAATGGACTGTTTGTAAAGTTCATGAAGAGATAATTAGAATTCAGCGTATGGAGGCAGTGGTGAGATTACAGCTTTGTGAAACGGCGYTTCATTTTGAACTTCTCTGCACCACGCCTCAACCCAATTATCTGCAGTTTAGAATGCCTTGGTGAGACTACAAACTGTGGCTGACAAAAATACAACAACAAAAAGTTTTCCTATTAGATAAAAGTGATTATTTTTTTTAAAAGGCTGGGCTAATATTAGTTGGAAAAAAATAAATGCATGTCAAATATTAAAAGCATGCTGCAAAACAAATTCAACAAAACAAGACATTATAATTCATTAAAATAAAGTCACAAAATGTAACTATTTGTTATAAATATTTTCCATCTGGACAGTATATTTAGTCCTAATTTTTTTAATGGGCAGTTACAGAGAGTGAGAGAAGGTTAGAGGAGTTGGGTAATGAGAAGAAACTATGTTTTGCCCCCCCCCCCCACTCTGTCATATTTATTGGGTTATTCTTGATTGACACGGCGTTAAGGGACTGGCCAAATTGAGGCAGATCCAGCAGCCTCGGCTGAACGTGCAGCATGTGCAGCCACCTCGGTCATGCAAATTGCACCCGGACAACCCGTTGACTATGATTAATGAGCTCGGGCTGCAGCCTTTTGTTTCCACACGCAGCCGTTTGGAGAGAAATACAATTTCAAAAAAAATATATATAATATCAATCCCTCTGTTTAATGTAGTGCACTTACTAACATTGCTGATCCTTTTTTTTTTTACGTATTTTACAGTTAAATGTGAGGGTTTGCACATACAGTATGTGTAGGTTGATGTACAATCACATTTAATTACGTGTCCTTTAATTAAATTAATTTATATAAAAAAAGATCAAATACATGGAAGAAGCAGCTTTTGAAGGCTGAGATTAAACACATGGGTCTTGTCTCTGGTGATGTAAAATATGGATGTGGGCTTTCTGGGAGCAGTCATCCTGTCCAGAAGGAGGGAAGAGGGGTGGAGGGATTGAATCTGATACCTTGCTAATACTACAGGCATTTCCTGACGACGATTTGCTTCGTGTTTAATCTGTGATTTTAAAACCAGAGATCCCTGATTTACCTGATACGGGGAGTCATTTTGTAGCACTAACTTCGCAAATGTACAAAAGTCATTGATGCTCATCMTCTAATGTTACAAAATGCCTTCTTTGTATGGTGAGTAATATCACTGAGCTTAATATGGAGGAATTACATTTCAAAACCTGTGATGGGTAAAGGAAATTACAATGCAGYTCATCTTATCTACAAAATACTCTTGATAAAAAGACAAAAAGGAAATCTAATTCTGGCTAACCTACACACTTYCCCCCCTTTGCACATAATTTCCCTCTGCTTCAAGCAGAATGTAAATGTTTTCCAGGCAGTATGGTATAGAAGTACCATTAGTGGCACGGTGCTTAGCACTACAATGGAGTGCCGAAAGCCGTGAAGCAGAGATCAGTGCAGCATCTCCTGGATATCAGAGGGAGACATCCTTTGTAAATTCATCCCCTACTGTGAGCAGGCTTTACAGCTGGTTAGCAGCGCTGGTGTGTACCACTGCCCTGTTTACATTTAGCCTCCATCTGCATCTTTTCATGGTGTCCCCTCCATCACTTCGTCTCTGTCCTTGCTCCAAAACACAGTCTGGTAAGATGCATGCAGACACAGTCTTCACTCAGATACACACACTCCCAGCAGCACATAAAAGCATTAGGCACACACACACAACAAACCTCTGATCCCCTGGCTTTTGGAGCTATTACAGTACACAGCCTTTCAATCCTCCCCTCTCTGATTTTTATCTTTTTATTCCATTGCATTACGCTGATTCTTTTATACCTATTAAACACGCAGCGCCCCACCAAACCCCCTTGATCTGCTGATACCTAGATGAATAAACTGCTTCTCCTGCCCCTGACCTCAGCCCTTTGTAGCAATCAGACCAGACTTCCTCAGAGGGCCTGATCTTATCTGGCCGTACCAATCCCACTACATAGCTCCMTTTTGTAGCGACCACAGAGCGCTGAGCCCTTTCAGACCCACAGACTGTGCCGGTGAACACACTGCTCACAACCTCAGCTCATCTCAGACATCATACTACACTGCCCAATAACAATGAGCTCTATTTTCTGATGCACCACAGGTCAGATGAAGGCTTTCTGCTCACCAAYGCATTGTTCAACCACAATGAAGGAAAGCAAAAGAATGTTTCGCTTGTTGACAATCACATCAGTTTCGGACGCTTTAAGGTTAATTGTAATGTTTCCTTTATGTAAAGTAAAATTTAAAGTTCATGTGGCTATATTAACAACTGCATATCTAAAACGAAAAAAAAAGTACTAGATTTTTGTTCTTAAAATTTAGTTCTTATGAGAGTAACTTGGTGTGCAACACTGAGATTTTAGACTTGTATTGAGCTTATCAAATCAGGCCTTACAGTCATTTTTATCATCATATATTTCACACAGAATTTAGTTTATATATTATGTTGAATTTAATATTTCCAAAACATTTCTATGCTGTGAAAACAGCCATTCAGAACATTTAGATGTGAGCTAATCAATTTTTTCATCCACTCAAATGAGGTGATGTGAATGATTTTATTTTTTGTGGCTGAAGACAGTTCACAAAACTGTTTGTTTCTAGTCATTACAACTTAGGTGAACAAAATTCAAAATGTYAGAAATTAAGATGCAAGATTAATGCTCATATTGTTAATATATAAAATACAATGAAATKAATATTAATGCAAAATTGTGATTCTTTTGATCAGTGTGAAAAATGTAGTGGAAAGACAATACTAAACTCACAAAGTGCAAATAATCTTTGAGTAGAAAAATCTAAGCTGGTAGCAACTGTTGCATATTGCATTTAATACTTAAACCAAAAAAATATATAAACTAAAATAAATTAATCAAATAAATCAATATAAAAATTAACATATTTTTTTATCCTTGCAATTCAGAGTGTTTTTTTAAAGATATACTATTTGTAACTAGAACAAGTAGCTGCATTTTAAAATGGAAGTGTAATAATGACTATGTTTTATATTTTAATTTCACTCAGTAAAAAAAAAAAAAAAATCTTAAATAATTGCGACACAGTGTCAGGCAATAGTTAAGCTGTCTATGTTTGCTCATTCAGGCTCCACATGTAAATCTGCCTCCCTTTTCCTCRCTCTGTCTTCCATCCCTGAGTAAAATCTCTCTTCTGTTCAAATAACTTATAGTCGAGGTTTTTTTTCCTCTCTTTTGTAAACAGGAAAACACCTGATAAATGTGACGGGACTTACGCTTTGCATAGAGCTGCTGATCCAACTGCATGACAAATGCCTTAAACCTTTGCACCGCCTTCGTGCTGCAAACTAACTAATAAGCAGCCGTTTTACTGAGCCCCTTGTGATGATCGACCAATCAGCGCACTGCTCTAACCAAAGTCTCGTCTTCAACTTCCTAGCGGGAAGCGGCTATCGGGAGCTGCCCAGAAGCAGCCGAAATTAGGTAAACAAGCTTAATTTTACACATTATTTACATTTCAGGACATATTCTTTACAGCACGCTGTATTAAGGAGATTAATAATTATATACGACGATGAAAAGGAATGTTTACGTTTAGTGTCGCGTCAAGACGTAGCTAGTATGTTTGGTTAGCAGTGCAGCTGTCTGACACTGACAGGCTGTCAGCAGAGAGCAGACATCTGCAGGAATACATATTTATCGAGCTCTCCTTTCTTGTTTGTGCGCATAGATCCAGTAGAACCATAAGCATGAGACTGTCCCGAGCTGAGTATAAAGAGATAGTGAGATGGACTGGACAACTGAGACCTACACGACAGTGCATGAAGATGCTGAAAGACAAATTTCCCAAGTAAGTTACACAGTGGGCAGTTTTTAATCACCTCCTTTTTCTTCTTCTTCTTCTTCTTCTGGAAATGAAATGAATGTAGGAGTAAAAGCAACTACTGCATGTTTATGAGTGACAGGACATAAACATCCACTTATTAATCATGAGCCACTTTTTTTATTAATGAATCAACTTTACTAACAAGATGTGTTTGAATAATTTGAACAAATAAAATTTTGATATATATTTTGGACTTTTTTTCATAAGTAGATCTTTTAGATTTAAGCATTTATAATCCAGTTTAATTCAGTCTTTAATATTCATGATTAATTCCACACAGGTTTCTGTATTGGCTCTTACCACAGCATTAGTCAGTGTTTTGCCATGCAGCGCCCGTGCATCCAGAAATCGAAGAGAGAGGTTAATGGTTGTGTTTGCCTTTCTCCTTGACACTGAGGGCCCTCACTTTATTGAATGTAACATGTGTAATCCCCCAAGGCCACCAGGACACCACGGCTGATCCCGTCGAGGTCACTTACAAAGTCGCATGTATTTGGAACTTCCTGCTTCCATTGTGCCCTAATCACCAATCTAGAAGAAAGTATCAGGTCCCCAAAGGGATGCAGTATAGCTTTCGGCTTCCCTTTGCTCTCACTGTCAGCATTTTACAGAATATGTCATGTGGGTAAAATGCATGCAACCTCCTTCACGTTTAGATATCATGATTCATCGATCCTTCTTGCACTTGGAGTTTCTATACAATCCGTTTTTGTTTCCTAATCCAGAATCTTAATAAATCGCTAAATTAATTTAACTTTTTTAAAGATGCTGGTAGGAATAATAATTAAAAATAAACACTGGCCAGTTTTCATTCCAATATTTCTACATGAACTCTTTCTCCCAGAGGTGCTTGCTCTTTTGTTTAGTCTTGCTGGTTATTGTTATTATTTCGCTCACCATAACCTATCTTGGGCAGGCCCCTGCTCTTTAAAATCCCTGAGTCTCGTCACCGGGCCTGACAGACAGGCACGGCAGCAGTGTTTTCACAGCCTGCAAAATTATTCTGGTTGTCCAATCAGCTGAGCTGGGCTCTGGAGGGTTAGTGATTGGACTGGCAGGAAATCAGGCTCTTAAGACATAACATATCGACTAGGCCATCCATCATCTCTTAGCATGCGCTCGGCAGCAGCAGTCAAGCCCCCCCCCTTGTCCCCTCGGACTGTACGGGAGCCCTGCCACTGCGTAAATATTGGCCAGGGAGGGGTTGAAGGGGGAGCTGGCAGTTTGTTGTGGACAAGCCTGCAATAAAATGATGGGTAAAAGAATGATTTGTTTACTATAGCTGGGGAGATAGAACAAACAGATATTTAGGTGTTAAATCATTTTGGATTTTGTTCAGTGATTTACAAATGAGACAACTCGAGATCCATACTTTGACAGAGATTTATGCACTATCAATATTATTTAAGAACTATTATTACTAGTTCAACACGCTGTAAATTTATATTACACACAGGTTTTTTTCCTAATACGTTTTTGAATGCACACTGTATTTAAGGCACAAACATGCCTTAAATGTGTGGTTTGTTACCTTCTGCTAAGAATAAGTTTATTCTATCTCCTAATTTGCTTTTATGACATTGAGTTGTACATCTACATGTCTTTGTAATATAGCATGTAAATATGAGTTACATTGATTAATTTTAATTAAAGTATTTATAGATGAATAGCAATAGTTAGTGCCATATTGAGTTCAAAATCATTTCACAGTCATTGGTTTTGATTGGGGACTCAAAGTGAAGAAAATTTAAACTTTGAACAAGATGATTGTTATAGACCATTTCAGGGTAATTTCCATGGACGGTCTGTCAGTCTTTGGGTCATGCTCTGAAAAGGGTTGGTGGGAGGAGAGAGGGAGTGTCCCATAGACAGACAGAAAGAGAGCGATTGCGATGTGGAGTCCCTCATCTGTAACGGCTGCATAACACAGATGTTGGGAGTCATCTGTCAGCCTGGCCTCTCTTGCTGCTCTGGGGGGAAAAGAATTGGACACGGTGCTGTCACTTTTTTTACCCCCACGCACAATGGAGGGGCATGCAAATATCAACCCCCCTGTTCTTGTTCCATCCTCCTTGCCCTCCTTTTAGCCTGTCCTGGTGTCCTGTCTAGGATCTGGACTTTGGGTGGGCAGCAGTCTGGGTGTGTTGGTGGGGAGGGTTCCTCACAGGCCTGTGAGTGGGCGGCTGTGACATCAGTCCCATCAGGTCCGTCTCATGCCACACATTAGAATTGGAAATGATAGGCCGCTTTCTGAGGCCTTGCGTGACTTCCCTTGGGTCTAGAGGGGGACCCCAGTCCTTCTACCATTTGTCCCCAGAGAGAGTCGGTGCAAGGAGGGTACAATGAAGCTGGAGAGAAAGTCAGAGTCCTCTGTGTCCTTCTGTGCCATATTATGAATGAATTTGAATGTAATGATTGCACCCTCCACCCCCACCACACTCTTTTAGGCTGCCATTCAGCCCTCCTTATATTGCTTTCACTGTCACTAAAGTAGGAGGGTGAGTAGGAAATAAAGGGCAGATCATTTTGGTTTGGCAAACACTTAAACAGTGAAGTGTGACGCATACTTCCCCAATAAACACAACCACTGCCTTTCCCTCTTTTATTCCCACACACACACACACACACACACAGTTCCCTGGCGAGGAGTCCCCGAAAAAAATTTTTTTTCAAATCGGGCCCTAATGTGCCGTTTTCATCAGCACTGAGGCGGGCTGCAATATGGTGTTGGAGCTCGCTCTGGGAATATGAATGTTGATTAAGCATGCATTCAGCCTTTTGAAATTCTGAAGAAGTGTCAGAATAATGGATGTTGAGCAAATGTCAAGCATTTGTTAATTTCTCTGTGATTCRGGATTTATCTGGCATGATCTTTGGAAGGAAAGTGCAGGACAGGGTTGTTTTGGCATGTGCCATTTATATGTTGATTTCTTGGCTACAGACACTGTTTTTGATGGTAATAGCTTAGTGGCGTTCTCATTGATTATTTATAGTGTCTGTAGTGTTTATCTCCGTTTACAAGCTGGTTAAACTTCAGGATTTGGTAAAAGGCACACTACCGTAAAACTGATAGTCGTTCTGTTTTGCTTAATTCTGGAGCTGAACAGGGGACATTAACAGGATTTTTTTTCTTCCACAAATTTCTTTTTCTATTATCACATTCATTTTTTTTTCACTTTACATTAGATGACAATTACTTGTTCCCAATTTTTAAGCTTACCACTGAAAAACATTGCCAACAATATGAAAATGTTAGCTGTTTTTCCGATTAAATTGTTCCTGCATTGTCACTAAATAATAAAGAGAGTTTCTCCTCTGTAACGCTTTTGAGAGTACAATTCCACAACTATTTTGTAGGCTTGAAGTGGCAATGACATTACCCAGAGACTGATCAAGTGCAGAGCCTGCGGGGCCAGCCTCAACGGCTTTTAATCCACGGCCTCACACTTTTKGCTGCTCCTATTCAACAAAACACAAACTGGCAGTTGGGGCTTAGGGGTACAACCCTTGAAGACCGAGAAGCTGGCAAACTAATTTCCCCAGCTTTATGGAGTTAGACGAGCATTAGAAGGGTGAAGGAATGAATGAAGTGTAAGCAAAGAGGAGGGATGTAGAAAAAGGACAAGCTGTGCTGAGTTTACAACTTCATGTCAGGCTAAGGAGGTCATGAATAATAGATGCAATCAATTACTTGATTAGGAAGCTTAGGAATGGCTACTTCCTTCTCATATCGTAGGGGTGTTGTCCAAACACACACTATAGATTGTAAAGCCTTTTTGGCTCACTGGGCTAAAACACTTGAATAAGCAGCTTGTTGTCAAAGAGCTGATATGGGATGCTATCTTGAAAGTTAAAATATGTAACAAATGGATTTCTTGACTAAATAGGAAATGTAAACCATTGATAAAGTCAGCACAAAGTTCCTAGTACTTAATTGTAGAATTAGTGTTCTAAACTACTTGTAACAATATTTTTTCCAAAGAGATGTACAGAAGAGATTTATTTTTTCTGGTAGACTCCTTTTTTGAGTGTGTGTATGTGTTTTAACACTGGATTATATTAAAGAAATAAATGTCAGTAAACAGGAATAGTGCAATTTCTAAGTTATGCTTGAAAGTATAGGCAGTTGGTCAGTGCAATGTGTTAGTGGATGCCTGCTWTATGACAGGGGTTCTCAAGCCGTTTGGGTCTGGGGACCCCTTACAAGGGCGAAAAAAAATTCCAGGGACCGACCTCCTCACAGTGCTGTTTTAAAAGATAATTTATTATCATTTCAACCCCTAAATGCCATGGAAATATATATGTTTTATTAAGTTTATTATGTTTTATTTTATCTGTTCATTGTTCTCCGTGCATTAAAAAAAACAAATTAACATTTTAGTAAAAWTTTTTGAGGATCCCCAAGATATCTCTCACGGACGCCTGGGGGTCCAGGGACCCCTGTTTGAGAACCTCTGCTTTATGACATATAATATAAATCCTATTTTCATTTTTCTTAGAATTTGCAGGAGCGACAATGGCTGTAATTACATTATAACAATGGTAACATAATATTTCTAACACATTTTGCCCCGACAGAGTAGAGAATATCTGTAGCTTTCATTTGGGATTACAATTAGGGTGGTGATTGTAGGCACTTTCTCACCTCTTTTACCACATTTGTRTAGCTTTTTTTGACATCTTGGGCATGTAAGCAGACAGAAATTTTAAAGCTTGTAATAAAGTGAACATAGCTGCATTAAGATCACATTTTTCTACCATTAGAAAAATTGTAGGAAAGGAAGATAGAAAGTAGACTGTAGTTTTAGTTTTGCTTTTGCTTAGTATATATTAACTTATTGAAAAAAAAACACACAAAAAAAACACAAAAAAATGGTAAAGCTTTCCCCTAAAAACAATATGTTCCATCTCATTGTATCACAGTTGCCGTTGACTCTCCTATAGGGTTTTGCAGATGTTTTTTTTTTCAGAACAAAAATGAAAACAAATTTAAAGAGTAAACATACGCTATTATWGTGTAACTATTTGTTTGTTGCGTTGTGACACACTGAGATTTGTGTTTGTTTTTTGTCAAAATACATCACATTTATACATTAACACATAAAGGTTTTTTTATTTTGCTGCTGCTGATGGTGAGCTTAGCTCAGAAACAGATGTTAGCATTTTGCCTGTCAGCATGTGTAATTAGCAGCATTTGCATATTAACTTTTTAAACGCACAGTTTGCTAATTTTCACTTCATAAAATATTGATCTGTAGCAAAGTAAATGCTCTCTAAAGCGTCACTCTTCTTGTTTAAATTAGACCCTTTGATGTGATATACATCTTGTGCTGCAAAAAAACACTGTTGCCTTTTTTTGTTACACGGAAATGATAAGTAGATTTGAAAAGGCTACATTTTTTTACACTTTGTAAGCAATTCATTCATACATGCCATTGCCTCCTGAAAATTATTTTATTGCCGTTATTAAAAATATGTGCTGCGCCTCAATTAGACAGCTTTATGCCCTGAAGAGTCGCACCATGCAACACTCTCTGCATGCAGATCCACCAAATGCTAAGTACTGTCACGGCATATGATACCAGTGCCATTAGCCAGGTGGCTTTCATTACCCAAATTACAGCTATTGTTTATAATTAATTATTTGTAAATAGGAAGATTCTGAATATAATTGATAGCTTGAATTTCCCTCATTTCTTATTAATTAGCTTGATGATATTTTCAGCATCCACCCCTTCTTATTTAAGATACTGATATGCTGTGAATTCACACAAAATATAGCAATTCAGCGCACAAACTTGAATTTGTCAGAATCATCAGTGAATATCCTAGCTTAATAGAGCCTAAAGCACTGACCAGACAGCCGTACCAGCTCAGTGACAAAGTGAAAGTCTCTAATTGTTTTTAATTTAATCTGCTTCTTCACTATTTTGGGTGCCAGTCCATATTAATGCACTGTCTTATGCTGTAAGGATGGGTAATTAGGTTGAGAGTGAATGATTCCCTAACTGCTCTTCTGTCTTCCTACCTTCTGTTTCCCCATGTTTCAAATTATATCCAAAGGGAAAGATTTTTATTTTTTTCCCCTAACTTGAAGGTCAACATGAGGATGTGATGTGATAGACTTAAATTTAATCATTCTTTTATTATTTTTTATGCATGTCAAACTTAAATGTATTAATTTATAAACTCGTTCACATTGAACTATGTTCATCTAAACAAAAGGTTGTAATTTCCTATTATTATTAACATATGTTGGCCTCAAGGCTTCTCATCATTTGTATTTGCTTTAGGGAACAGGGAATATTCCTATTCTGACAATTATTTTAAACAATTATAATAAAATAGTTACATAGGCTTAGGGAGCACTATTGTCTGTTTATGTTATTTACATAAACTTCAGTTTACAGTTTTACTTTTTATTTGCAGACGTCTTATTCTGATGGAGATAAACCAGGTCTTAAAAATAAATTTCCACAGGTTTATTTGTTAACTTCTGCTCATGTCATTAAAAATGGTGCAGGAGTCAATTAATATAACCATGTAATATTCTCATTTGTCAGGCAGCCCACATTCGTAATGTAAGGATAAGTATGAAGATTATTAGCATAGAGCGGGTAAACTCTTCCATGAGACCACAAGTTGGAAATACAATATTGTAAAGCTTGAAATAATTTTCTGTTAGTCTGTAAATGGAGGAAATAGGCCTTAAGCTTTATAAATTATGAGTATAAAATGCAGATAAATAATAATATTATATTCATTATCTATTTCAATTGGGCTCATTTAAATTTAAATTACTCATTGCCTATTCGTGTTTGGGAATTTTCTTTTAATGTTTGTTTACATTGTTTTGTTTGGAAAGGTATATGAGTGCAYATATTTGCACATATGTAGACATGCACTTTTACATTGGAACAAACATACAATTATGCATATATGAATCCAACTTCTAATAAATACTTTTTTTTGAAAAACATAAGTTTTATCAGATGAGTCATGTGCTTTATGATATAGATTTATGTGTGTTTGTTTGGGATGAGCAGTTTTTTTTTTTCTCCACATAACTGTTTTCTTTGCCACCATAGACATAAAATAGTAGTATCGCTGGTCTGTGATTAATTGCTGCTCAACTTTTGGCTCTTTGAACTTCCATGGGGCTTTTTTTCCCCTCCCAACTTTAATGTCAGCAAAATCTGATTGACGTAGAAAGGGAAAACAAAAGTCCCCAAAGTTCGTGGTGTTTTTGGAATAGATATGTTTTCATGGATATTAAGAGCAGTTAATGTCCCTTTTAAAGTTAACAAGCTATAGATTTAGCAATTAAGCAGTAATCATGCTCATTAAAAAGAGTAATCCATTTAAAACCTAACAGATGTTYGTTCTGACAGGGGAATCGTGACGGCCCCATGCCAACAATAAGGCAGTAATGTTGTTGAAATGCTCAGGTGCAAGGTTAAAGAGTGGAAGAATTTATTTTTTTCTTCATTTTGTGGCCACATGTTGACAGTTGACTATTTAATAACCTACTAAATTGCAGTGGCCTCTTGAGCCCTAAGCTTCATTTTAAATTAATGCTGAGCTTGCAGGATGTGTTTCTCTTACCTTTTTATAGTTTAACATTTTTGTAAATCTCTTCTCTTTTTTTTACTATAAATATGAGCAACATCATTTAAACAGTCTAAAAATGGCATAGATAATCTCACAATTAAAATCTTTGTTATTAAAAAAATGGAAAATAAATTTAGAGGTAAATCATTTTTTATTGTAAAATAGGGCAATATCGTATCATGTGCAATTGTCAGAATTTTTTTTAAATATTAGTATTTGCCACTTTAAAATTTAACTTTAAAATTACTGCATATAATTCCATTCCATGATGATGTATTTTTGTGTGCAACACGCCATCATTTCAGGCGGCATGTGGGCCCAATGGTGGAAGGTTGTGTAGATCAACTAATGCAAACACTAACCCTACGTTTAATACCTGAAACATTGACATAAATTGGAGTACGAGAAAAGCCAGAAAATATGGACTAAGTCCATGTCGGCTTCATGCAATTGTCATCTATTAATCATCATATTAATTGTTATTGGCTGAATGCCACAATTGTGATATTTTTTTGCCAATATCACCCAACTGTTCATTTTCATTGTACCGGCTTGTGCAATGTCAAAAATTACTATTCTAACTCCAATGTAAAGTATCCCAGTCAAACTATAGGAATTATTGGTTGAGATCACATATTTTATGATTAGTGATTAATGAAGAGGGCCTATGACAATTTTGTTCATTGATWGCAAGAAGCACATTGTCAACTTTAGCTTCTCAAGTGTGTTTACACACCATCTTCGGATGACTTGTTACAAACAAAAGTTCATTAGATGAAACGAGAGTGTTGAAAGAATTAGCTGTTGCAAAATTGCTCAARACAATTTCAGAACAGTTTGCACATGTGTGGAAAATTCCATATTATTTTTTATTGGTATGCAAGGAGGAGGTGTGCAATAACCAATTAGGGTAATATATTTCATGCATGTAAATATCTTCAACTTAAAATATGTTGCGGGTGTTGAAGGGTGGGGTATTGAAAGGACTCTGAATCCCTGTTGGAAATGCCTGTTTTCCAGGGTTTGCCTCTCTGCCAGGTGTTTGACATTGACTGGAGCTGGAGATGAATGTAGCTAATGGCAACCTATGGAAAAGACTGACTCCTGGGAGCCACAGCTTCATGCATTAAAAGTTTTTATTTTCAAAGCCCATCAGTTGCCTTGGGAGGGCTCCTGACTGGCCCATATGCCAGCACTGACAGTGAAGACAGTTTTTTTTTTTTATATATATACTTTCTCTGCTATGGCACCAAATACAAACTTTTAAGATGGTTGTCCGCTTTGGCTGAACTCTGAATCAACACCATGTGAACTGTTTTTATGGATTTAATATTAGTCATCTTTAGGTTGTTATGATTGTTTTTGTAATTTATAACAGCAGAAACCGCRTGTTTTATAAAAACAAATGTTTGATGAGGCAGAAGACCAAAAAGGATGCTAAAAGTGACTGTTGGGGAAAAAAATACAATCAGGCCATAAATTTCTCATCTCCCATACCACACACAACCTCCCTCTTTTTTTACTCTATATTATCATGGCAGGAATCCTTTGTCAGAGGTGTTCATCTGGAACAACTTTGCCACACTTGTTTTCATGTTCTTTTAGATTACAGGGCAGCTGGTCCCAGCTTTGAAGCTCCTCTCTCCCTGTGTCTCTGTGCAATGCACTTTGGTAATTAACTTTGTCCTTCTTTTATTTGTTCCAGTCACTCGCAGTCCACTCTTCTGAGCATCTTCTCCCTGGAGTACCAGGTTAGAAGTTTTCTTCCTTTGTGAGCCTTGACAGGTGCCTAATTGAATGATGAATGTCCCTTTATTTCTTTGTAATTGAACTGCCAGCTTTCTGATTGGTTTGGAGGACCCCCCAACCATACCCCCGTTTATTTCACCCCCCACAACACACGCACAGACACACACACAGACACAGACACCTTCGTCTTCTCCACGTTCACGTTGAGGTCCTTTTCTTTCCTTACCCTCAGTGGATGTCTGCCAAACCTTCCCATCCATCTGTCTAATAACATCTAGCCCCTGCTTATTTGGTGGACCTGTAATAAATTATGCTAAACCATTATTATTCTGACAATAATAATTTCCCCGTGTAGTGAGGCTGTGTGTGCTAAATGTTTGCTGACTCGCACTGTCACTGCTGCTTTCCACGGCTGACAGCGGATGATGATAAATGGCCGCTGCCGCCAGTGGCAGAAGGCAGCACAGGCAGAAAATGGAGTCATTTATCATCCCACTGACAGGTGTCAGTCACACTGCCCGTCTCTGTGGAATTACAATTTTTGTGTGTAGTAGCTTTTAAATAAGTTGTTTTTAACCAATGCTCTTCCTCTTTTATCCGCTGTCCTCCAGCCTCTCGGCAAGAATGGCTATTGAATTGCATGAAAATGTCAGGGTGTGGTGTGTGCAATAATGTGAGTGTTTGATCGAAAAAGGGGGAAATGAATTCAAGGTTTGAGTAAGAAGAGGGGGGAGATGGGTTTAAACAAGGTTGCCTTGGAACACTTTGACCCCTGGTAAACCTATTGAAATTGAATTACTATGATCCTTTAAATCTCTTACTTGTTTACACAAGAGCATAGAAGATGAACCACTGTTGAAAATGAATGCTTCAGTGGAATGTGAATATAAAGGAATTTTTATACAGTATTATAATTAACCATAATTATATTTAGTATATATCTGTATTTATATGCTAATGAAAGTATTATAAATATTGCTACTAATTTATTACTTTTATTGTGGCAGAAACGAACCAAAAGGACCATCTCAAGACACCATGCACCCGATGTTATTGAAATATACTACCAAAGGTAGAGTATCACCTTTATTGCTTTTATTTAATGCCACTTCTGTATAGCTATTAAAATATTTTATTTCTTCTGATTTTTTTTACTCTTGTATGCTTCATTTATATTGTGTAAATTGTATATTTTGACTTGGGAAGGGACTTGTCAAACTTACATGAGAGTAGGTGGGCCACCAAGACAGTTATAATCTCCTTCAAACAAACCACCACCCACAGGACTTGTTCCAGACCTCCTCTTGCACCTGCCACACCACAGCTCTGTTCAAATTAGGAGCAGAAAAAAATATATATTTGCCTTATACAAGCTTATGATGGGGTGATTATGTGTAATTCAATGAATTTGGCTGAATTAAAAAAGGGAAACAATAACATGGTTGTAAGGGGGGAAACGTCTTTGCATATTGCAATTAGCCTTTATCTAGCTTATTAGGCTATTGTTCTGGGGAAAATAAGCCTGGATAATGCACTTCTAATCCACTTACAGCAGCAAACCTCAGAGATGATCTCGGCAAGATCTAAGGGGAGTTGCAGTTTTAGCTGGAGAGGGAAAAAAGGCTTTTTGGGCGGCAGGGGTTAACTAACTATCATATGCTTGTCTGCTTCAAGGAAATTTGAATCCCTCCAAGCAGTGCTGGTTTAACCGCACTGAGCCTACCATATGCCACCCAGGGCAAAGTCATCAGGGACATTAGCATGTCTTGGCTGGCCTGGTCTAGCTCCCTCTTCCCTTTTTGTCTGTGTGTGAGAGCTGTTTTTTCTTTTCTTCTTTTTTTTTTAACTGCCGCTTTTGTCCTTTGTTATAATGAAGGTATCTGACTGAGGCCAAGGCTCATCCCACAGCTCCTGTCCTGCTAGAGTTGGCCAATGAGGTAACAGTACAACCTTTAGTTCTTTTCTAGCATTTAAAATAAAATAAAATAAAATAATAAWCTCAACTGATAATGTTTTATTAAAGGATAAAGATGACAGCTGCAATTTTTAAAATTTCTCCCTTGTCTGTTAGTCATTATCAAAATTGGTAAAACAATTCTCTTCATTATCAATTATCAAATGTAATTATCTCCAAGCACCATTAGGCAGATGTGAAAATACTTTTTTTGTTTTATTTTGTAATTTTCCTAATTGCAGTTCAGGCAGAGTTGCTACAAACTGCAGACAGGTGAGAATGGGGTCATTGGTTAAATCCCCTCTCTTCATCAGTTCTTTAGCTATTTGCTTTAAGATGTCAGACTAGTGTTGGTATTCTGGGTGATATAGTAGCAATTGTATGTAGGTATACTACTTAAATCCAATTTGTTTTAGTAACCAAGAAACATAGAAATATGTAATAGATATTTAAATAACTGCTGCTTTAGTCATAAAAAGATATTTTAAAGTTGTACATTGTTTAAAAAGCATTCGTAGTCAATGTTTTTTTAGAACATTTTAGTGAGTCAGCTATTACTTCTAATGTAAATGTATTATACTTTTAATTGACTGAGCAAGGAACACCTAAGTTATTGATTCCTAAAGACTTATATTGCAATAGACAATAGTTAATAGACAAACGTTTATTGTACTTAATTATTTGTAAAGGCACATATAAAAATTCTCATAAAATGTGTTGTTTTCTTTCAGTTTCCTCCTTTTTAATACTTTGAAAAGGCCATGCAAATGATTTAATTATTAAACAGCATCATTTAGTGCTGTTAGTTTACCAAAGGAGGATTTTTAAGTTTAAAATCAGTTCTTCACATGCATCAGTGATAACCTCAAAGCTAACTGCTATTATTCATTTTCTATTTAATTGAAATATTTTTTTTCTTAAAAGCACAGAGATAACGGTCTATGAACCATTTAACTGTCATTTTAATATGCTACTTAACATTTAAACCAAGCACTCGTGCCCTCTCAGACTGCTAATTGATGTAGTTTYGTGTCTTTATGAGACAATATATCTCCAATAGATGAAAAAGATTAACAGTGATGAAAGCTGTTCATGGGTATTTTTTGCTTCTAGATGAAGTCCATGAATAAGAGATTCTAAACTCATTCTTTTCATGCTTTATGGGGGTCTTTATCCAAAGGTTACTTATAGGCTTAAGAACAGGTGCACTACACTACAATGCATGCGACAGCTATTAACGTTTTAGGCTAATACAACTGCAGTAAATATTTAACAATAATTATTTTCAGCAGGAATTCAAGGCTCTGTGAATCTTAGTTAAATGCTAAACTTGTGAAGTGCTGCCGTCTGACTTGAGAGTAAAGATGGACTCATGATTAATATGAAAATTAAGGAGATGCAAGTACCTGAACTAATCAGGTGGCACTTATTCAGGCTGAGCCTGCATCAGTAATGCTGCCATTTTTCATGTGTCAGTTTCCAAGAATCTGATACTCTATTGTTATCCAATGGTGTGAACAGAGACCAGGCCAATAAGCACAAATAGGAAGGATGGAAAAGAAAGAAGAAAAAGAGAATTAACTGCAATAGTTTGAGAGATAAAAGAAAACTGCTGTGGCTGATTGTGGCAAATACAAAGTCAGTAATGCTATCAAAGGCTTTAATAAAGAGACAAAGTCACACCTTAATCATTATAGACATCTTAGAGCTTTTTATAAGCTGCCTTCTTATTGCAATGTTATGGAAATGTTAACAAATACTATGGTTGGTAAAAAGACATTGTTTAGACAGAGCGATTGCGGCCCCCAGCATGTAATCATAATGCATCAGAGAAAAGATGAAACACTCCATTCCCGCTGCGATCTGAGGGCATATTCACTTTTGGTACCCAATTATGCTAACAAGAGGAAAAATGTACTTTGGCTGTAAGAATGTTGTTTTATAATAAGCCAGTCTCCAAGCAATATTTCCATCCCCTCCATCATGGAGAGGCTGTGAAATTTAGTTGTGAAGGAATTAATGTGTTTTCATATTACTGTATGGTGTGTATTTTTTAAATGAAGGTCAAAATAATACTAACAAAGGGCTGCTTTTTTTTGAATATCACCATAATTTTGCAAACAGAATACTGCATGTCTTGAAAGTGAGGGAGTGCAATGTGCTGATAGGAATCTGGTCATAGACACCTTCAGCGTCAATCATTAGAGCTTCCTTACATGCCAGGGCTTTTCCTTTCACTCAAACCAAAAACATTGCTCACTTTTTCAGGTGTCTTTGTGTTCAAAGAAGGCTTCAGCCATAGGTTTTATCTTTCCTGTTACGGGTTGCATTCCCATAGCCCCTCAGGTGTGTCCTATTTGTTGCTGCTGTTTTGCCTTAGTGATCTGCCTATGATTAAAAGCTCTTCAGTGTCTCTTGGCTGAGTATAGTATGTGCCTTTTCTTACAAGCTGAAAGACTTGTAACGTCTCTTTGATATAAGCTAAAGCAATTCAACCAGGTAACTCGGCTGTGTAACAGGGGGTCTCTTGTTCCTTTGGGAAAGGTTATTGCAAAGCAGGGCTTTAAAAGACCAATTTACAATGAGAATGTCAAAAGCTGGGTCAAGGTTTGAGAACAGAATAATATAATTTAGAGCCATTAAGGTTGTTATTATTTGTGACATCAGTGAGACTTCAACAGCTGGTGTAATTTCAGTGTTTAAATTCTCAGGTTCTTTGAATTTTCTGTATTTTGTGCTGAATATGTGGAAGGTAGTCTGAAGGTTTGTAAATATAGCTGTTCCTATCATAAAATAAAATTTTGACATGCTTTAATTTAAAAGTTACAATAATTACCAACTTACACAATGTCMTGGTTTTATTCAGACACATTCTTTTTTATTGCTGTACACTAGGTGGATCTGTCTCCTGCTCTGATGGCTCGTATTATCCTGGACAGATTCCTTCAGGACATGGACGGTGGAATGCGTGAGTAACACTTTTCCATTTGGCTCTAAGTGACTCTTCACATCACTTTTAATTGCAGCACTTTGTCCACCAAATCGCTCCCTGTTTGAGTTCAGATTCCAGTCTATCTGCTGTATTTTCAGCCTGTCCAACCCTAATGACAGACAGACAACATTTCGCAGAAGCTCCATTCTAGGGCGCATGATTGGCAATTAAGTCTTGGGAGGACCACCCACCTCTCAGCTGCGGTGTGGATCAATGCTCAGTTCATCAGTATTATTTATAACACCCTTGATTTCTTTCCTCACTCCTTTATCACCAATACGTTATTCGGATCTTTACCTTCAGTTCTAGCCTCAACTGTTTTGTTTTTTGTAGAACTACTGGGTCTGCATAGGAAACTGAGTTTAAGAAAACTCTGGCAGTAAAAGGAAACAGTTCCTAGGTAGTGCTGATTGAGCACTGCAGGAAAACAAGATTCCAGACGCAAATATTTTTGTTGAATCTGTCAAAGAGATTTTCCAGAAGATATA